AAATATTAGAATTTAAATAACAAAGTAAGGTTTTAAAAGTTATTCAATGGAAGTTCTCTCTCCCCCCGTGCCTGTAGTGTTCTTAACCATGTTAAGCCTAAGCGATGCTGCTCCTGCAAGATAAAACAAGTTTAGATAAACAGATGCATAGAATTAGGTTTTGCAGCACTTTGTTTAAGTCCAGTGACTTTCACAATGGGTCTTGTTCTACTAAAGTTCTACAAAACTTTTCTAGGCATGATATTCAGGACAGTCTGCATTGTTCTCCATTCATGGCCAATGCTCTAAAGTAGGGCTAAGACCCAAAGTGAGGAACGTGGAGACAAGAGGAAGTGCAAAATACCATGTTTCTCTTATTTAGATGGTGTGAGGAGGTGGGGTCGCCTCACCTTCAAGGTGTGGGATTTCTGGTTGGAGCATCCCTGGTCAACAGTGCCAGATTTCTTCTCTGAGCAGGGGTTAAGTCTTCAGTCCCCTACTTTAACGTTCAGCTGAGCAGTCAGTAATTGCAGTAGGAAAATTGTTAGTTGACATAAAATTTCCTTTGAAAGTTTACAAAGCAGTTGAAATTTCTTGATTTTCTAGCCCTTCCCCAAGGACTGCAGAAGTTTTCTGGAAAGAGACAATGCATTGAGCTAGGGGATCCTGACATCTAATTGTTCTCAAAGTATACACTGTTACAACTTGGATCTAAACCAGAACAACGAACTCCTGCCAGCGCTGAGAGCTCAATCCAGCCCTTTGTCATTGCAAGATCTGCAGGGGGAGAAGTTATCTTGAGCCTTATGGTGAATTCTGCTCCAGAATCTTCCCCAAATCTTGCTCCAGAGTCATTGTAAAAAGTGGGAGATTACCTTGGGGACAGGCTTTTCAATTGCTGAGGAAAATGAAAGGATCATTACACTAAGCTCAGAAACTGGTGAGCATGGAGCTAAGATGAAGAGCAAGCTTCTTTTTAAGTGCTTTGGCTGGCTTTTTTTTTTTTTTTTTGTGGCGGGGGAGGGTCCTACCAGCATGATCTGTTCTCTAGAACTTTTCAGGACTGCCCATAATTTCCTGTGAGGCAAGACTTTGCTTTATTCGAATGATGAGGCTATTTTAAGGCACTGCGATGCTTATCGTGTAACTCTGGTCTCTTGAAAAGCAACACATGGTTTCCTGTTGTCACAAGCAAAGTGATAAGTAGTCCTGAAGACTGTGCTGTGGTGCAGGATGGGAAGAGGCAGCTTTTAAGTAGGGCGGTCATACGAATGGCTGTCAAGGAGGCTGCTGAAACAAGATACGTGCTCCTTCTATTTAAGGATGCTATCAAAGTAACACAAACTCTCAAAGTTTGAGAGTATAAATTTCAGTGATAAAAACCACCACATTTTTTTTATCCAGTGTTCTTTTTTTCTTATTAAAAAAAAACTTTTTGCAGTTTAGGATATTCTTTTCAACAGGTAAACAAGTGTTGTTCTTGATAAACAGTGATTGAACATTTGATTACAGTGCAGCAGCATTTTGGCAGATTAACGCCTGCTTAAATGGGAAGCAAGTCCATTTGATTTTCTGGAAGTGCTTTTGAGGCTTTATTTATTTTTAGCTCTAGCTCTGTTCCAAATCACTCAGAACTGCCAAGAGAGGAAGCGCTGATCAAAATTCATGTTGCTCTCCTCCCCTTAGCAGGGGACTCCCTGCCTGTGCACTGCATCTCCGAGCCTGCAGATGCCAGGTCTGTTGTTCCCTATGGGCTTGGCTTTCCCTTTATAACACGTCACCGTCCAAACCTGCATACTCTCTGCAGTGCTTATTGCAGAGCTGAGAAAATCTAGGGCGTTTTATACAGATACTTTATGCGTTAGTCTAGGAAATCTGACTCCTACTGCCTATGTCTTCCCAACCTGCCACTCATGCAAGATACTTAAGATGCTTTATTTTGGTGCTCTGAACTGCACATGCTCACTCTTTCTCCCCCCCGGCCCCCCACCCAACCCACCTACCTCCCCTCTCTTACTGTGTAGGGAGCTCAGTCTCTTAACGTGAGTCCTTGAGCTGTGCTTAGGTTAGATATCTAAAGCAAGAGAGGAAAAAGTTGTAATGTGTTTGCAGAGTACCCAGCCCAATAAGGTCTTTCAGCAGTCACTAAGTTACATATCCTGGACTGGCTGTCAGCATGTTGCTATCAGACTTCCTACAGAAAATTCTAGGTGAGGTTGTGAGCAGCAAGAGGTGTTAACGTACCTAGTGAGTAGGCAGACCTCACACTTTGCTCATCACCACCACTCCAATGCTCTCCCCTGCCTTGCTCTGCCTCTCTACCCACTTCCTTTGTCCTGTCTCCGTCCTTGGTTCACCTTACCTTGTTCCTTTCCCCCTACTATGCTACAAGGGGCCTTGATGGCTTGCCCCGTGCACACCTTGAATAGGGACACGCTGGCTGCCTCCCAGCAATAGCCTTGCAGTTGTTTGTGAAATCTGTGCAACGTGGTGTTGCTTGCTCATCGAAACATGTCGTGGAGTGGTGTACTACTTTTGCACCTTCCCATATGTTTAAAAACAAACTCCTCCAAAACAAAACAAAACACCAAACAAGCTAGGTGTTCTTTACAGGAGTACTAGTGCTTATGAAAGGAGCCAGTCTCCGAGGGACACTAACACAGAACACATAATAAAACTTTTGAGCACAGTCCTGCCTCTGTGAAGTTTACTTAGAACAGATGACCTTTCCTAACCTTTGGAAACCATTTATTCATTTGACAGTGAATTGCTCAACTATAAGTGTTCACTTGAATTTCAAAGGTGTAGCACAGTTCTTGGAAATGATCTGTGGAAACATCTCAGTTAGGCCTTTGATTTTATGTTGACTGGGCTACTCAAACACACACCTTTAACTAGACAAAGTATTTTCGTGGAGGGAACACAAGAGGTTTTTTTTTTCAGTGTTTATCTGTAACCCACATTCATAAAACCACTCTAATACCTGCCCTCTTGATTCTGAGCTGAGTCTTTTTTTGCAGCTCAGGTCCACATGACCCCAAAAAGCAAAGAAAAACTGTCTCTTCCAGTCTGAATCTGGCCATGACCAACTTTGGCTTCTTGATAAATCTTTTTTTTTTTTTTTCCAAAAAAAAAAAAAAAGCAGTGTTGTGTAATGAAACAAAGCACGGCAAGATGATGCAAAAGATATGACAGGTTTATGAAAAGAATGGGGCAAGATTTTTATCACAGTACGCAGAGCAGAGCCTGGGATGAACAACACATTGTCAGGCACACTGTGGCACAGTGCAGGCAGAGGTGAAGTGAGAAGGACAGAGCGAGGTTAATCCACAACCCAGATAATTCGCAGCCAGATAGTCAAACACTATTTCTCCAAAAACTTAAAAATTCACCAAGCATACAAGTTGCATTAGCAACCACTGAGGATTAAACAGAAGAACTTCTACTCCTCTCTGAGCAAATACAAATCTGAAACAACGAATACTGGAAAGTTAATGTTCAATACAGGGCAGCTACCATCCTCTGTACTCTATACTTTACTGCTTAATAACAATAGCAACTTATTACAGTAAGTCCAGAGGAAGTTTGTGGTTAGTTAACTATGTTGAGAGTGATTCACTTCAATATCCATCTTTTTGGGGGAGAAAAAGTAAATAAATAAAACCGTGCATAGAAGACCATTTTGCTGCTCCTCTCTCTCGTCAATAAAATAATGGTACGTGTTAGATTATGATAATAGATAAGATGGCTCAGTTTGATTACTGAGTTTTCAGTTACTGATCTTTATGAACATCTACAGGCATCATTCATTTACTAAATTATTTCTGAAACCACATATATAAAAATGTCTACCAAAAAGATCTACATAAAAGGCACTTTTAGTGCAGCAAAAACGGGGGGAGCATGGATGGCTCTTCTGGAAGGGTGGGGGCCATGAGAGGTCTTTATAAAGAAGTTTTGAGTCATTCCTACTACAGTGATGGCAAAGACTGGTCTCCTTGAGGGTGCAACGTGTTTTCTGCAATTTACTTAAAACAGCAGCTGCAGATTAAGTACAGCATAGTAGAAAACAACAAGAAATCAAATACAGCAGTCACCCAATCTCAACTGTTAGAAATATTCTGATGCGCTAAAAAGATGAGCTATTACTTGTTCTGGGATATCGCTTTTCTACCTACTACATCCAGCCGATGATTCTTTACCTTAAATTAAGAGAAATGACACTTCGTCAGAAAGAAAAACAACAACAAACAACTTGTCCTGCCATAGTAGCTGTACAAAGATGATAAAATATTTTAATTTAAAACACACTTTCTCTTCTTTCTTCCTCTGCCTTATTTTTGCTTTTTTCCTCCTCCTTCTTCTTCTTCTTGAGGGGTAGGGGACACTGAAATGATAAACAGGAAAGCAGAAAAAGAAGAGATAAGAGTTTACTCCCTATTCGCTTTTGCCTGTCCCTTCATAGCTGTACTGGCAGCAGTCTCTTGCCTCTGTGGTCAATGATAGCCTGCTACCACCTAGAAGGAATTCTGTCCCAGCTGCAGTCCAACTGCTTCTGGAAAAGGAAAGAGGTGCGTAGCAGCCCTACCCTCTGCTCCTTCTTATCCCCCCAAGATACCTTGTCAGGCGCAGGAGCGCACACCGGTTCCTTACGGGGTTCTCCACAGGTGCTGTGGGAAGCATCCATCTTCAGCAGGCCTGGCCGCGCCACTCTGCCTCCCCACGTTCGCACAGCGTGCGCTCTGCCGCAGAAGGGGTCCAGCCCAAAGTGCAGGTCTGAGCCTGGCTCCCTGCTCTGACAGGGAAATGGCTGGGTAGGCAGGTTTCTTCTCAGCTTCTCTTTTTAAATCTCTTTTAAATAAAATGTAAAAAGGTGACCAAAACCTTGCGGAATTAAATTTTAAAGTAAACTTCTGATTTCTGCAGGAAAAAAAAGAAAAAAGGAATAGGTTGAATTTGCTCTGAAAGTATCAAAAAACATTTCAGAGAAGTCTGAACATCTAAAATACACCAGGGAAAAATGTATTGCAGAAATGATTTATTTCATGCCCACTCTTTTACTACATATTTAAACATACATTTCAAAAATATATCCAGTACATCAATAATTTAGAACACTACACAGAAAAATTTATAACTCAGTGAATTTCAAAACAAGGTATTATGCACAGACATACTTGTATCATAAGGCAAAAGAAGCTAGTCTATCCGTTAGCAGCACTCCCACATACTATCCTTGATACACACTGGAGAACGAACATCTTCTATTACTAAATCTATACTTACAAATAAATTCCCTTATCTTCCATACACTTCCATAGAAATTTAAGGTATTTCTATAGAAAATAAAGTATTTCTATAAAATTTGAGAGAAATACTAAGCTATCACTCTCAAACTGTTATAATTTACAGGAATATGTCAAAAATAATGTTATCCTGAAGAAATAACTGAAATTGCATATTATTATTGCCTGCCCATTACAACTGAAATATAAAAAGATAAACTATAAGCATGCTGATGAATACATTCGAGTGCATTTTAACAGAAACATGAATAAACCTGACTGGACTTACAGTATGACTGAAACCAAATCTAATGCAACATAATCAATGATAGCAATTAATACATTAAAAAGGGATCCAGTTCAAGGTGCTGTTTTGCTGGGAATGCTGAGTTCCTATTAACATAACAAAATAGTGTAGGAGTGTCTTAACTTCAGACTAGACTACTCAATTAGAGGCACAGCTAATATTAGCAGAGAACTGCTGTAAAACAGTACGTGTACCTGTAGAGCCCATTAGAGAAAATGAATGTAAAAAAATCAAAAAGTTTAAATTTTACAAATAAATTATTCTGTAAAAATTAATCATTTTCTGAATTTTAAAGAAAAATTAAATACTAGGAGACTATATATAACACAAACAGTGTTTTTGTTAATGATTAAGATGTATACATTTGACTGTAATGAGTAGATCAGATTTGTTTAAGAGGCCTCATACAAATTTTACTTCATAAAGTGATCTCTATTTGGTATTGTAAATGTCCCTCAGATTGCAAGCAATTATTAACAACAATGAAAGTTGGAACAAGATAATGTATTTTTTATATAACATTTATGATATTCCAAGATAAATTTAATGAAATACAAATTATCATTACAGTAAATCAGAGTAACCATCTTAAAACCTTTGTATGTGAAAATCATTGTCATGGTTATGTTTTATAATAGCAAGAATAAATATTGAAAAGATAGCAGCTTTCCCCCATTCCCATTAATACTGTTAACAGTAACTCATTTTACAAGGGTTTGATTTCAAAACAAAGGCAGATTATATACTGGGATTTTTCCAGTAGTATCATTTACAGCAGTATAAAGTTGGTTGTTTTCTAACACATTATCGTACCTAAATGATAAAATACCTCACAGTTCTCCCAGAGCGTCACTACCAGCACACAGTAAGAAAGTTTCAACACCTTTTACTTTCCCTCATATACAGACTCCTTCACTTCACTGCCAAGAGCTGCACCTTACTTTAAAAAAAGGCAGAGGACTCATTTCCCAATAAAGAGATTGGAATATATATATTTTTAAATGCCTGAAAATACAGAACTACAAATCTAGCAGGAACTGTCAAGTTTGACTAGAGTATTTTTTTCCCCATAATTTTCCCTTTTTTTCCCCATAATTTTAAGAAACCAGCTCAGCGCTGACACAGTATGAAAGAAGCTACCATTTTCATCCTCACTTTTCAAAGTCCATTACAATTTGCATGGATTCTCTACACTGGTTTAAATATTTGATAAGAAGAGATTCAAACATTTGTATTAAGCTTGGATTTTTTTTTTTTTAAACTTTTTTGCATGTTCACAGCTTAAGAGGAAACAGTGTGATAACAAAAATGAAATGGAAGTATACCTTAACTGTTCAATAATTCAAGAAGTGAAGTTATAAAGAAAGATATAAGTGACACACTTTAATTACAAATAAATATGACCATATACTGGCAGAATAAATACGCTAACATTCAGTTTCCAAAAGCACACTTGCAAGTCTGTTATATTTTAAGTCACCTAATCTGGAGCATCAAATGTGTTGCAAGAACACCATTAGTCTACAGTGCAGTCTCTGCTTAAACACATCAAAGCTAACTAACTTTTTTTCAGCTGAGGTACTGTTAGGAGTAAAGCTACAGCAGCAAAGAACTCAGCAAGAGTTGCCACAATCTAGCCGTGAAGTGGGGTAAATCATCAGGCACTTAACCTCCAAGCAAATTCTCCATTAGTTATATAAATATTTAACAAAACTAGTTTAAAACTAGCTCAAGTACACAGCAAATGCTGTGCAAACATACCCCTTATTTCTCCAATGCTCTTTTATAGTTGTGCCCTCTAGTTCTTTTTTGAAATTTTCCCAGATTTATATTCATAGGAATGCACAATTATATTTTAAACACACTTTATATTAATTAGCCTACTAAATTGCACTTAATTAGAGCAAGGGTAACTGTTAGTCAGCGCTGAACACTATAGGTGAAACCCTGGCTTCCTTTAACTAATTCCTTAGTTAAACTCCCAGGATCCGGGGAACATGTGAGAGGTGGGAACTCCAAGCACTATCCAGGGGAGACCTCTCAAGAGATTTTTAGGAGCTCTACGTCCCGTGCTTTCCAAAAGGAGCCATTGGTTACTTCATTACTATAAAGCAGCATCAAAAAAGGTCAGTAGATTCCCACCACAATCAGGCAGGAATTTCTGTATGAACAACTGAAATTCAAGTGCCATTAATTTATACCATCAACCCCTCAAATTACTGTATTCCAATGAAAATTATACAGAGGGTTTACAACAGGGACTAGCTAGCTTTCGCACACAAATGCTAACCAAGTTGACATTGAAAATTCTGTTAGCAACCATTCTCCTCATTTCTGAGAGAGCAGAAATCAGGCCCCACTAAGGCTCCATCCAGCTCTGAAGTCTCCAGCAGTTAGGTAAGACACTTCACACGCATTCACAAAAACAAACATTGCTTCTGTGATGTTCCATTAGCACTGAATTAGATCCCTTTTGTAGTAACATTTCAAGTGTTAAATGAAGAACTTGCACCTTAGTTCACCTGAAGAATTTTACAAAGAAGCTTTTGGGCAAGCAAGCGAGATATCTGCAAGTTTTAAAAACAGAAACATCAAGTCTAGGTATGTTCACATGGATGTCCAAAAATATACATAAACTGAGTAACCCTATTCAGTTAAGGATGAACTCACGATTTTTTTTCTCAATATATCTAATATAAATTAAAGAGGTTAACCATAATGTTGCTAAAAAACAGTCTGCATAAAAATGTCTCCCATTTGCTCAGCTTCCAGTCCCTGATGCAGCCATGAAATTTTGATGAAACTTTTAGAACACACAAAAAAACCCCAAACTAGAAAAGCCACCTCTTGCAGGTATTTTGGAAATTGCATGTGCTTGGACAAACATGGGCATGGCTGTCATTCACTGCATTCACCTAAGAACAGAACTGACAGTTACTTAATGTCTGCCCATTTATTAACACAATTATTTCTACACGAGTAGACTACTTTTTCTCCTTCATAGTAACAATTCAGTGCTCTAAAATAGGCAGATCAATATCCTACAAATACCAATACCATACTAAATACCACTAATTTACTAAATCAGAGGAGGTAGTTAGAATTCCATTAACACTTACTTCAGAAAACAAAGACTACTTTTAAGAATTAGTAGAACATCTCATTCATGGAAATATTCAGAATAACCCATTCCTAGCTGCTTAAAGGGTTGCCTGTGTTAAGCATGATAAAAAAAAATTTATGGTAGAAACTACTTCTCTTTCAGTTTTCAACACCACTTCGCAATAACCACATAAGAAAATTCCCAAGTGGTAAAAATGTAAGACAAACTGCAATAAAGCAATAAAGCAACATTTTAAGTTAATCAAGTTTCTTGAGATATCATGAGTATGACTACATCTTTCACCTTATGATTAAATTTGAAAATTCATTCAGTTAACTATAGTTTAAAAATATAGCTACACCACTGAAATTAATTCAAAGTATTTTATACCACTAATAATTGGCATTTCTGAATGGCATTTAAACAAATAAGCATTTATTCTTTTTGCAACAACTTACTGTAAAATACAGGCACCTTAAAAATAGATACATAATGCAACCAGGGCAGTCGGGACATTCTAAGTGTTTACAAATCTAGTCATGCTATGTAGTTCCCTTCTTCTAAAGAAATATTCTAAAATTTGAAACTGTGCCTGAAACATGTGCAAATTGTAATGTTTCAGTATTTAATTCAATTTTCACATTAGATTTCTTTTACAGCTACAAAACCATTAGTGTGCTAACATTTTCAACTTTTATACCTGTAAAAACCTTAAGCAGGCATCTTACCTTGGATAACGTATTCTTGCTATTGCACATATGCTCATGTGACAGTGATAGTGAAACTGTGGTCCATATTCAATTATTTACATATGCTAAAATCTTTTATCTGCATACAGTATTGGAAAAGAAAAGATTACCATTCATGACTGATACACATTGCTCCACAATTTATGCCAGCACATTTTATGAAGAACAGCCAGCCATTCAAACTTCCTGCTTATGAAGGATACGATTCAAAGGCCACTGAAGCCAACAGAAGCCTTAATTTAATTCACCAGATTCTGGACTAGGCATAAAGTTCAAATAGAAAAAACGTAGGAAGTGTTTACTATAATAATTGATATAACTGCACTTTGGATGCATTAAGATGCTCTCACAACATCTGTTTAGGAAAAAAAAAAAAATCCTTGCAAAAAATCCTCTTCCTAGAACTTACATGTTACAATTCAAGTTGAGCCTTAGGTACATTTATCAAGTTTATTCTGTAGTAATTTAACTGATTAGTTTTCTCCTTTTGGTAATGACACAAAAGCCCACACTGATGCATAACAGTATCTACAATAGAAGGAGCATAATCTTGACATAAGTGGTAGAGCTATCATACAGGAGGATTTCCAAAATATAGTTGTTCCTTCATATTCTTTCTTCAAATGGAAGTGGTCTTTTCTAGTTCAGTGATCTATCACAAACATAATTTTTTTCCTCCCAATCAATGAGTAGGAAATAGATTTTCAATGAATTTTCTTTAGCTTTGAGGAGTTTAGACATCATCAAATATTCTGCTTCGAGACATTGACAAGTATCTTCCACCAGGCTGGTACCTGTATAATGAATGTTAAAAAAGAAAGAAAAAAAAAGTCACAGAAGACCAATGAATAAAGATTTGTGAAATCATATGACCCTCGCCGCACTCTATACACAGTAAGTCTCTATGAATTATAGGATCTGAAATTCTACTGAATTACTGTTTTCATGAGAACTTGTTAGGTGGTCGTTAAATTAAATCTCATATGACCAACAGAAACAGTGACATGAATAAAGGGAGTCTCAAATTTTATTCCTCGTTCTACAAAGGAAAGAAGTTGAATGTTTTTTGAATAGTAAAAACTTTTTTTTTTTTTTTAAAACCAACATCTAAAAGTTGTTGGCTGGATGATTCTACTGGCTATTCCTAGGAGGAGAGCAGCATCCAAAATGATTAAAACAAATGCCTGGATACTTGGTGGGAGAAAAGAAGCCTCACAAATCATTAGTTGAATATGCTGTAAATGGTTTTGAAAAGCAGAAGTAAATTCCACTATATGCATAATGTACTTCATCTCTGCAGTAGCTAGTAAAACCCAGGACTCAAAGCAAGAACCCTAGCCTCTCCGGTGCTGTTACACTGCCCTAGAATGTTTATTAAAAAAAAATAAAACCACAAAAAATGCACACAGCTACTGTTTTAACAATCGATGTTACTCCAGTTATTTTCGAGTGAATTTATATTTTACGTGCCATTACTCTTGATTTATCATCTATGTGAATGAAATGAAGGTTTCCAAAGGAAGGCTCAACTATGCTCTGTGCCTCTAAATTTTCTTTTCAAATCAGAACATTCCACATTGCAAAGTCTGTACAGTGCCAGAAGACTTCGGACACTGTACTTGAAAAGGATTTGCCCCAAAAAAGAATTATATATGCATATTTTTATAGATTATCTCAATAATAACACTGTATAAAAGTCAACACCTGTTAGAACTGCTCTGCTAGTTCCTCTTTAAACTCTTGCTCTGCCTACAGAGAATCAACTTTTGAAAGGTAGTGGCATTAGGTTAGACAAGACAATGTTATCAATTAACATCACTGAATCAATTTGTAAAATATAGTAGCGTCATTTAACGGGATCCTTGGGCCGTTTTTGAACGGGAGTTTATTTGCTGAAGTTCCAGATATAAGTCAACTGAAAACGTTTCTGAATTTTTATTGAATTTGGTATGCTAGTTTTAGCTGAAAAATAACAGAAATAACTCTTTATATGGACTTTTTAAATGATTTATCATGAAATGGTTCTAAATCATAACTGTCTAGATAAAATACACACTCATAAATGTATTACTTCCTTCCCAAATATGGGCAGAGCTTACCAGCTAATAAGATACAGGACTCAAGAAATTTGATGTTGGAATCAAACCCTATTATAGACACAGCTAGCTACACTGTGCAATGTGAGGACTTTTTTGCCTAACAGATTCAGATTTTCATTTACTTTAGTAGTTCTAGTCCCCAGGTATATTCCTGGGATTACAGGCTTATCAATACTCAGTTTTACTTCTTGCAATCTTTTATGATGGTATTTCTGTCGGGAAATCAAACGAGCTTTCTGAAATGTTATGAGACATTAAAGAAAACCTCATGTTGTATGTATGCAGGCCATTCTCCAGTTCTTTCACTTCCACATCTCAGATTATGCCAATATACTACTTGATATTCAACTCAAAGCTAACTCGGACAATTCTACAATACTGAAAAGAACAAATCCCCAGGTTCCAGTTGGTTTTAAAACACTTCCTCTATCATCAGGGAGGAGGAAGAAAGGAAAAGGCCTTGATGAGACTGTTCACAAAACTATCATTACTAAATCATCCCCTATGTGGTTATAGGGCAGAAGACAGAAGATATTAACATCCTTTCATTTTAAATAGAACAGACGATTGCTTACCTTCCAGACTCTGATTCAAGAGGGTCATCATTAATTGAGTCTGCATTAAAATCCAAAGGTTCTGCATCCTGGAGGAGTTCTATTCTATCTCTCTCAGTCCTACCATTTGATCGGGTGTACTTTGATAGTGCTGAAGAGCAAAAAGAGGGAAAGATATTTGTTTGCTATATAAATGCCTTTTAAAGTTGGTATTTCCACACACTCTAAGACCAAAATAGTAATTTTCTAGTATCTTATCCAAAGAGTAAGCCTGATTTAGAGTAGATTCAATATTAAATAATTCTGGCTGCATGCTTTTTAAAAAAGGGCACCTTTATTAATTAATGAAATACAGTTGTTTTGCATTTCACTCTGCCACCTTCATTAGGCATGCCTACACTTTGTTGTGGTGTTGGAACACTGTTATATATGTGGTTAACGTTAAAATATAACTTTAGCTAATCTACCAGTGAAAATTTAGGTTTCCAACTAGGGTAGAAAGGGAAGTCCACCACAATTCTGTCTCAAAAGCACGTTTGAAGCTTCTCCCTCCTGTTCAGTAAATTTCGTAAAAACAGCTTTGCAGCACTTCATTCAACCTGTCACACATGTTTAGTTGTTCAGTTTCATTTCTCATTTGATGTTAGCTTACAGGAGCATATAAAATTTATATAAAACATTCACAGAATGACAAATAAACTTTTTGGTAAGATTAAAAGTAGGCACTACACAGTTGGTTGTTTTAAACGCTTAACATTATTCTTCTTTCTCAAAAGTAACACATGTAATAAACTAATCAGGCTAGTTTCACAGATGTTATTAGATGAACATGTATGTGCTCATATACTAAAATTTCTCTGTTCTAGTTGCAAAAGGACTCTTTCAGACTGAAATAATCAGGTTATTGACCAACAAATGAGAAGCCAGTAACCTATTATATAAAACTTTCAACTTCAAGACATATTCCAAATAAAGTCTCTTTGTTGACCAGTGCTACCCTAATTGCAAGTGTTACATGTCCCATCAGAGGTCCCTCTGACAGACCAGCCAGAATCTCCAACCTAAACTAGAGAGAGGTGTTGAAGACGGGAGGAAATTCAGGACTCTTTTTGGGTGGCTGTAATGGGAAAGATGGCACTGTGCCACAAAAGGGACTATCTCGGCATGCTATTCTAAGACAAACAAGAAACTATTTACTGTTACTTACATAAATAGTATCATGGAGACAAAATATTAAAAAAAAGAAAAAAGAAAGAAAAAAACCCCCACACAACAACTTACGTCTATTTGCATTGGTCTCTGAGAAGCTGGACTCTTTTTGGTCTGTGTGGACAGCTCTGCTTCTAGTGGAATCTTCTCTGTTTCCATATCGCTCTTTCCATTCCTGGAAAAAAGACAAAAAAGAAAACATCAGCTGCAAGTAAAGAACAGCACAACCAGAGCATAAGTTGGATCAAGAGACATGTTAGACCCACAATTTAGACCTAACTGGTCATTCATATCGAAGTATAAAAGCAGTATTTTGAAAATATTACTGCTCTGTATCTTGATACGGGAAGAATTTTTGCTTCATTTTTTTAAACTAAAGATACGTCCCTTTACTAATCAGGTTTCAATAGCTATTCCTTAGAAGAAAGAGTCACATTAAACAAACTATAAATTAAATCTACAAATAAGATTTGCTCAACTGCTTGCTCCAAGTTATGATGAGAAGACAGAGGTCTTTTTTTTGTTTCTTTGTTTGTTGTTTTTTTTTTTTTGTTTCTGCTTCCACCTAGCGGTAGAATTCTGAAATATCCAGTTGCCGATGGCACAACGAACATTTGAACTGGTCATGCTTAGTAAACTTGCTCTGCTGTGTTTTCATTCCATCATATAATGTTTTAGCATTTACACTTTTTAATATGAAGTATAGTGAAGTATTAAAGAACGAAATGTCACACGCTACTTTTAGGAGACAACTTCATTTTTCAATAGAAACTTTTGCAATGGTTCAAATAACTGCAATATATTTCAAATTTATATCTGGATCCCAGATCATGAACTGGTAGGAACTGGTATACTCAAGAGTTACCGTTCTAATTTATGCCGTGAGCTCTATCAGGTCTCAGCTGCAGAAGGATCAAGAACAGAACAATCATGACCCAGTAAAACACTCAAAAGCCCAAAATGTTTTACGAGTGAATGTGCTACATTTAGTATTTAATACAAACTCAAACAACAGGTAACATCTGAAATTGAAGTTGCTGTTGAAACTGAAATTGTTGCTTAATGTCAGATCATTTCCGAAGCTACTAAATGCATTTGCTTCTACTCGGTTTTAACAAAAGGATAAGTTCTAAAATTATGAGATCTCATTGTACTTACTATATTTGGAGATCCTTTAAGACATCCCCCCCACTCAACTTGCTTTTTCAGGGGTGGGGGGAAAGGAGGAAATCGCAAAAAAGGCCTGCTCAGCATTGGCAGTCATCAAGAACTGAAGGCAAGTATGCTTGAGCTTTAAAAGCCCAGAGTTTTTAGTCACAGTATGATCTTGTCTTTCTCCAGATAGTATTTTTCTCTTCCTCCAGTTAATTCATTTTTTGCAAGCATCTTTTGGATATATCTATTTGATTCTAACTTTCTATATTAAATATCTGACGTCATAAACTAATGAAAAACTGAATTTACAGTTAACTGAAGTTGCCTACGTTTTTTTTTATTCCTACTGACTCAGCCTTCACCAATCTTCCAGTCCAGAAAGCACTAAAAATATGAATTTAACCAAACATTTTGTCTGTGTGTCTAATTAAGCAGTGATGGCATCGCTCCTTCTATCTTAAATGTAATTCCCCCCTCTGAGGAAAAAAATACATCTATGCCAATTGCTTTCCAATGAGTGCACACAGCAAAAGGGAAGTCTGGGAGGAGCCAATGAATTTGACAATATCTCATACAAATCACAAGTGCATCAACAGATACAATAAAACCCTATTTTTAAATATACTTTGCAGTTGGTACACTCGCATGAGGAGAAGAAAGCAAGGTCAGACCTAGCGATCACAGAGGTTGCCTGACCTGATAGGAAGTGGGAAGTGTTTGGGTTTTTTTTGTTTTTTTTTTTTTTAATTAAAAACAGGCTTCCCCTCTGAATCACTCTTTTTGATAAAGTAAATATATTCTAGATATACTATTGGTTCCTAGGACATAACTTTCAGGTTGACAAACTGCATTCCAGTTCCTTCTCAAGTAAATATTTTATTCCAAGCAAAGCAGCATCAGCAGAAGAGACTGAGAACAAGCCATGTCAGAATATTCTGCACCCTAGAGACTAGGATACTTATTAAAAAGGGCCTTAGCATAAGGAACTACGCCTGTTACACCTATATGCTCAGGTCCTTCTCACAGCACACTGAGTAAGATGAGCATACAAGCAGTGTGACGACAATTACTCCCTTCTTTTATAGGTAAAATGTAAAATTATCTTTTTTTTCCTCCAGCCAAGACTATTCTGCAAGACTAAACTGATTCCTTCCATTATTTGGACATGTATTTTTTTGCCAAATAGATCAGGGTGAAGTAAATATCCTATCAGATATTATAGTATATTATTATAATTAGTTAAAATAATTTCATACTCTTCTTCGACTTTCACCTTCTTCTTGTCTTTGACGCTTTCTTTTCTCTAGAAATAGAAAAATATTTGTAGTTAGACACGAGGAAAATCACTACCAACAGATAAAAAAGTGTTTGTGTATATATATGTTTGTCTGTGTGTGCGCGTGTGATATCAGGTGCTCATACAGTTAAAAAAAACCCAAACAAACAAAACAAGAAACCCACAGAGCTGCTGGAGTTTTCCATCAAAATTCATTCACTGTGGGAAAATACCTGAGGTCAAGGCACAACCTTTGGAAACCAGATGGCAAAGCATAGGGAAACTTTTAGAAATAGCTGGAAACAGTATGATAAGAAGAAACCTGAGCATTATCAAATCAAAACCTTTGGCTTAAATTCTGTTTGGCCCAAAAAATGGCCCAAACAGTTTCTGTTAGCATCTGTTCAGCTGGAAGCGTAACATCAGTGTTTAAAAGAAATAGCAATCTCTTGTTTAAGAGAATGAGTGATGCTCTCTCTCTCTTCCAAAAAAGAAATAGTACAACTAAATCTAGATAATTTTGTTTCTAATAAGCTATGAAAGAAGAAGTATCGCAGTGTATCCAGAGATTTTAACTTCTAAATCTTTACTCAAGAACCACAACAGCTTAGAACAACTTTAAAAGATACTTTCAACAAAAGGCTCCTACCACAAATCAACAAGAGAGTCTGAAAAAGCGCTCCAAAACAGTAGGTAATTACAACTCCACAGGATTACAAGCTTTCTGTGATAACGCACGGTAGTTAGCTGAAACTCCAAAAAGAACTAAAGATGATGACAGAATTTGGGAGGGACAGCTGAATGAACATTCCTACACCAAGAAACATTAAAATGAGGTTGTCAATGATAAAAACACCCGAGGTGCTAATTATCCTTTATGACAGATTACATAGGATCTTAGCACCATTAGATTAGATCAGTATTAGATCAGTACTGACTTCAGAGGAGTATCACCTAACTGAATCATAAAACACTGCTCATCTAGTGTCTAAAATTTAGATACTGGAAGAAAAGTTTGTGTTTTATTTTGGGTGTTGATAGTCTGGTACAGTTTATATAACCACCACACAACTGTAAATCTATTGCCCCACTGGTTTTCAAAATACTTACAAACTATTAAGTTACATGCTTTTTTGCAACATTTTAGACACCTTTAATGCAACAATGTATTATTTTTTGTAGGCAGAATAGGATAGAGGATCCAATTTACCTCTTCTGATTAGTTCTTTTCCTTCATCAATCAAATCAGACGTCATCTCGCTATCCCCCATGAACTGCTGGAATCCCAGAAGATTCAAACAACGAGTTCCTAAACTGGTGAAAGCAGAAGGACAGGCATATTCCTTTGTTAATCTACAATGAATAGTTTGGATATATTATATTATAATACAAAATGTAAAATGAATCATTCAAAAATCATGGACAAATCAAAGAAAAAAGCAACAGAAAAAAAGATAGATTATTATACTTATTGAGACATCAAAGTTCAGAACAGTGACAGGTTCTTAAATACAGCTGAAAGTAATGTAATATCCCTACTCAGGGAGATGAGAATGCTGACAGTCTGAGTGTAGCGCAAATGACTTAAAAATAAGACAACTGCTTGCAATTTTTTCAGATATAATTTATGCCTATGATAGCTCACTGACTCTTCTCTGCCAGAGCAAAATTACTATAAAGATTCCATCTATTTTGATTTCTGTTTTCTGAAACTACAATAATATAGGAAGTCACTTTCATCTCAGTTTTCATTCAGGAGGAATATCTGGCATACTCTTACGCTTTCAATTTCCCACCAGAGAATACAATTATTGTTTTTATTGCTGCTGTTTTCCTCTCTCCAAACTGGAACATCTATATCGTTTTAAAACTTGGCTTTGTCATACATTTATGCTGAGAAGTGCATTCCTGTACTATCTGAACTTTAAGACTGCTGGATTTAATAAGGGAGATAGCTTTCCTCATTAGATTTTCATTAAACATTTTGTCCCGTATACATTTCAATTTTTAGAAGGCATGAGAATTTAAGCAAAATAATTTCTTTTTCCTTCATTTTCTTTCCTTACTTTTCACTGTGATGTTCAACACCCAGGACCATCACGAACAAGAACTCACACAAACCGTTTTCTTGTCACTGACTTTCCTGTTTCCCTTCCTCCCCGGCCCCCCGCCACTGCTGTATGTCACCTAACCTGAAGCTAGACAGGGAAAAGCTGGGACTGGATCCTTACCTTATTACCTGTAGATGCGCACAGGATATTAATAGACCTGAAGGCACCGAACTACATTCTACATAACTATACACTACCCTCGACTGAATGGCAACATAGGTTTGAAGGAGCGAACACAAATGCAGCCAAATAGGGTCCGACCAAAGGCATCTCATTTCTTACAGTGGTCAAAGGCAGGTATTTTGAAAGAATACAAGGACAAAGCAAACACACCACGAAACTTTTCTCAAACACCCTTCCAATATCCAACAATCTCTTTCTCAGGAAAGCAGTATTCAGTGATTTAAACCACCATGCTTTTAAAATAAAGCCTGGTAACTGATCAGATATTTGTTATGAGTTTGTTAGAAAGTTCATTACCTAAAGTTTCTTCTAACGTTTCTTAGTTTATTAGAAAATCTTACTGAAAACACAGCCTCCTCACGTTAAGTTTAAACTGAACTAGCCAAAATCTAAACGTTTGTAGGCTCTGAAGTTTTAACAGTACAGACCCCAAAACCAAAAATGAAGTTTAATGAAAAAAAAACAAAAGAAACCTCAGTTAGGAATTAATATGAAGGATACTTTAAAAAGGTACATATTCCACAAAGATAAATAATGATCTATGGTTTTATGTTTGGCATTTTTATTAGTATGTCACAACTCCAGCGCTGGAAGAGGAATCTGAAATTAACTGAAATTAACGTTATTAATACAAACAAATGCGGAGCATCATAGTCTTGCAAATTACCTACCTGAAGTATGTGGCAATACAGAGAATGACAACAAGCATCGGGTAATATATATAGAATCCATCTGCAATGAAGGATAGCACTCTCATAGATCCCATTATCTGAAGAAAACAAAACAAACCACTAGTATAAGAGTAAATTACTCTAGATATATCCAGAAAGACTGTGACATCTTGCTGTTTTCACAAATACATATTCCTTTGTAGTATGTGAAACATAGGTAACAATCATTTAGTTAACAATTTAAAGTATTACCACTATAGATCTATTTTAGGCAGTTGACCTGAAATGCCCAGCTATAAAAGCAAGGTCACCTCCCAGTGTGTTCACTCTGGGGTTTCTAAGATAATCTTTTTGCCTCACCTGATCCAGAATCAGTCCAAATGTGGTGGATGTTTTCACCTGCTGTAAAAGGAATCTCTGGACTAAGAATCTACTTCCTAGTAATAACGGGAGAGGTGGCTGACTAACCTGCAGAAATTAGCTGTTCAGTAAAATCAATCTCAGTTTTCAGTGGCAAATTAGGTTTGCTCCCAATCCATAAAGACACTCCATATGCTAGAGCTAGTGGAAGCTAAAGCTACCAGAACACAAAGAACAGCTTGCACTCTTCAGCATAATGCGGTACTTTCTTAGCATAAATAGACCAAAATAGAAAAATTGAGCTACTGACAATTACTATGCGTAGCAATCAGTATCTAACTCCCAGTCTATAAGTAGTTCCGCTCTGTTTTATATTAGTGAATATCTGGGCAGGGTGAGGAGAAGGATGTGAACCTTAATAAATCTTAACAAACGTCTCAAAATATTTTTCCTCCTCTCTAAACCACACAGAGGCTTCAAAACCATGCTTTCTATACTTACTGATGTGTAAGCAGTTGGCTGAGTGTTTTTATGAGAGATTGTTGCATCCATATGGGTCAAGCCCAAAAAATTCAAACATAATGGTGGAGTAAGACGGCAAAATAACCTGTATAAGTGTAAGATATAACAACGTTTAAAAACAATTTATCACATTAAAAACACTAATAAATGGTAACTAGATACAACAGGGATTAATGATGAACAGTTTAATGGGATTTATACACATATGATCATAAATGAAAGGATATCAATTAAACTTTAATCGACATTTTTAATTATTTAACAGGAAATCTGCAAAATATATACTGTGTACTCACATTCCACTGAAAAGGAGACTGTACGCATCTGTCTGATGATGCGAAGCCAAGTAATAATAGTTAAATACACGGATCCTGAAGACAGTAGAGTAAACACAGATACTTAGGAAGAAGATGGTAAGAAAACAGGCCATCTGGGGAAAAAAAGGCATCTGAATTTAGAACTCTACTAAAGGTTCTAAGGTTTATAGCCTATGTTTGCAACAGGTTGACTGCACAGTACAACTTTTCATTCTGAGACGGAACAATAACATGAGCTCTAAGACAACACTCAGGAGGTTTTTTCAACTAGTTGAATTGGAGAGTAATATTTGCAACATCCTGCACTTCACATAAGCGTAGCATAAGTTACTGTAGGAACATCTGTACTACTTCTTTCTGTTACGCAAATTAAATTAATATAATTGCCTTGGTAATTATTATGATTGATTTGATATTTTCTTCCCGCAATAGTAAAATAAGTCTTTTAAATTCAACCTGTTTTGTTAGTATAATTGGAATTTTTCAGCTCAGCTCCTCTGCTGATAAATTTGTGCACTCTTATGCTAACCACACCTCCCAGGGCTGGATTTTTAGTCAGTAGCAAATTCATATTTAGGAGAGAGAGGCTGTATACATAGTTGGTTAAAGACAGGTAATACACAAAGTCTAAACACCTAAGTTCCAAACTATTATTTCACAAACTATTCCACATATGTACTACTCAGCTCAAGTGGGTTACACTGTCATGCAGTACTGGAGAAGTGCAAGAAGTGGAAAAAGGGGGACCTTCTCTACAGAAACCAAATTTGGTGTCACGTATTTTAGAGACCTTCTGAAAGCTGACAGCTTATTTACAGAGACTTACTTTAAAATTAGCATAATCTACTATTATTGTAATAACAATCTAACTATAAAGATTTTTGTGGAGTGATTACCTCAAACTTACCTCTATGTATATATAATTGTATGTCTTTTCTGCCAGCTGTATGAAAACTGCAAATAGGGATAAAACGGGTTTTGTGCTGAAAAACGTGCACTCCGACCACACGACAATTACAGAGAACGTGGCCAAAACAACTGCAAGAACCCTGTAAAACCATGGTCGTAGAAGACATTCCCAGTACCACTCTGGAGGGGGGGAGAAAAAAAAAAGACAAACGCACACACATAGACACATCCCAAATTGATTAATGTAAATTACAATACCAGAAATGGAACTGCTCCAAACTGTTACAAACTTCTCACACTTGCCCTTAAAACTAAGGCTGGAATCTGTGGAGTCATTCGCTCAAATTCAGTGCTTTTCTGATGCCTAGAGATCTAGATGAGCCCTAAGGAATCAGCTGGAGAACTGGGGGAAAAGGGAGTGGGATTTGGGAGGCAAGTTTTGCAAAAGGATTTGGCAGGGAGAATGGGGAATAGAACAGAGCTCTTCACTCTGAGCCCAATTACTATGGGTGATCCATTTTTTATTTGTTAGTTCCTCTGTTGGCCTCTAGTAGGCAAAGCTTACGCTATAAAACCATACTGACATAACCTAGCAATAACTCATCGTTAGTATACAACAAATCAGAAATTAAAACAGAACGAGGAGAAGATACCTTCTAAGAAGATGCACAAGGAACTGCATCTCCAAATATTTGGTGCAGGACGGACAAGAGTCCTTTCCTCCCTTTTTAGTAGGAAAGCTATGCCACCTCAGTGATGTCCCACAAACACAGAAGGTAATCATGATCCCCTAGCTGAAAGTTTCTATTCTTCTTTCTTCTTCTAAGGTTTCTAAGTTTTCTATTGCTATTACAACACCTGAGTGTTACTTAGTTTGTAGAAAATTTAAGCTTCTGGTCAGAATCACAAACGCACAGCTGATGGCTATTCCATCACATAAATGCATGAAGATGTATGTTTGCTCCCCTCTATTATAATTAAACTGTTAACATAAAACAACCTAATTTTCTTACAGAATGGTACCAGTTACTCCTTTACATATCCAAAATCTGCATGACAGCACTTACCAACGGTTGGTGTGTAGAAATACTGAAAAATTTTATTCTCTGATTCTGGGGATTGAAAAGTATGAACAAACTGGCGACTTGCGCTGGTTTCATTTTTTGCCACATCTTCTAGATAAAAGGCTTGTTCTAAAAGAATCTGCCACTGGACCTGTGTACGACGATGTCTCTGCACTGAATAAATTACCTATAGTAAATAAATTCCAAGAAATTACGGTTACAACATCCTTGATCCAAAAAAGTCTTGTACAATCCCTCAAAAAATTCTACATCACAGAACCGCAAAGATTAATTCTGTAAACTCACAAAAACAGGTAGTTAACTCTGTTAAAAGAGATATCATAAGAGGACTATAAGATTCCTGAGTTTCAAAGCTCTTTGATCATCATCTATCTGGAGGTCAGCTGGGATACTAAACTTCTATGTTTTCTCTCACTGCAGAAAGTTTCCAGAAGTAGCAATCCCAAATCCCACTATACTAAGCCAATCAGGCATCACAATGCATTGAAATTCTTAATTTGACTGTCATTTATTCTCAGTACATTAGCATAAATGGGACATTTATCAATATACCTGCTTGTGAAGTTTGACCAAACTTTTTTCACTTGGATAACTGTTCTGTCTTTCATCAAAATCTTCATAATCATCCATGTTCCTACCCATTCTTTCCTGGTACTCTGTAGGACACTGGAAGGAAAAGGAAAACTGACTGGAATATGAAAAAGTGGTAGTGAGTTCTCTTTGTTGCCATTTTTAAATATTCTGGACATTTCATGCCTGTGAAATGCTCGCTCTACATATGGATTTTCCTTTTTGATACCAGCTTAACATTCTTTATTTCTAAGATAAGGCACTTGAAATTATTTACCAGAAATATTTACCCGTATTTTGCATACATTCAGAATAAAGCACATGGCAGAGAAACAGATAGAATATTCTACATTGCTCATTACACTATAGAAAAAAAGTACTATTTTAAGTAATCAACTGTTATAACTTCTGTTTCTCAAATACTACATATCTCAGAACGCAGTAAGCAGATAAATACATACACTGTAAGAAAGCACTGCATAAACAATTTCAACTCAAATGTGGTCAGCGGAAGTTATGAGATGCCAATTAGAGACTGTAAATTAAGATAAAGATGAGGACGAAGATTAGTTACCTTTTTCAGTATCGTATCAACACATTTTCTCAAAGGGTGATTATACTTGATACTTTCGTTTACTTTACGGACCTCCTGTTCACATATACACACACACACACAAAAAAAAAAAGAGTTGCTTCACTATGATAAATATATAAAAAAAAATTTACTGGGTCAGATAAGAGCTCCATCTTTGTGAATTGAAGCAATAAGGATCACAGACTAAAAATCAGCAGAAATTCCTAAGTCACAGCTTTTCCTACACATCTAATATAAGAAAATTAAAAGAGTACTTACAAAGAAGATATATATTTAAAAAACCTACAACGTCAGCGTGCAAACATTACTTTGCAAATGTGTGGAGGACTATTTTCTAGGCAAGAATGTTGAAACGGAAAATACTTTCTTGTTTTAGTTGTAGGTAAAGAGGAGGAGTTTCTTTCTTACCTGGTTTAGTTTAACATTTGTTACTTTAAGCAGCTTGATAAATATCCTTTTACCCTGCTAAATGTTATATCTTATCTCCTGCTTATCTCCAGACACTTCATTTCTGAGGCTGTTTGTTATGCCTCAGTAATAAACAGAGGCTACCTAATGGCTAGATAAGTTTTGTCAAAACTGGTTCTAACAGCTGATCAGCCTTAGTGACAACTAGATTTTTTTCTTCATCCTATTGGCAATGCAGAGATAACCAACCTTTGGATGAAACTAAGTACTCACGTCCAATCTTTTAGCAACTGCATTTAAAAAAAAAGGTACCTAAGTTGTAGGAATTAGGCAGACAGAACTGGAAGAACTGTATTTATTTAGTCTCAAAGGGTGGCTACATGAATATAGGTGATCCTTCAATTTATAAAAGGCTGTTCTAAAAGATGAATGTTAACTGTGTCTGAATCCCTCTGACTCTCCTGAGGGAACGATCACAAGAAACATGCTTAATCTGTTGCAAAGAAGTTTTCTTTATGGGGAAAAAACAAACAAACAAACTAGCAAGAGTGTCTGTCAGGGCCAGTCCTAACATATTCAACCCTGTCAGGTAGGGTGCTGGACTAAGAAATGTTGTGAAGCTTTCTCTAGTACCGTATTCATACAGTTTTATGAATTTCCCTCTGAGAAAGGAGAGGGAATGGAAGCCTCAATTAAAAGGGGTGAGAGCTAAAGGACTGTGATTTAATTACCGCAGCAGAAATTTATATTTGCAATGAAATTCTCAGTCAGTATTGGCATTTTTAAAATTTTTAAAAAATTTCAGGAGTGTCAATGTTCCTATGAAAGGAAAAAAAAAACCCTGGTGGGGGAAGGGAGGCCAAGATTTATGCAGTCTAGTGCAATTAGTTTTAGAATCAAGAAAAATGCAAAAAAAATGAAACAGTAGTGCCTCTCTCAACAAAAACTCTCTTAAAAAAAACTTTTTGTTCTCCAAATGCACACAGTGCAGTCCTACAAATCCAACCTGGAAGCTCTTCTTAAGATTCCAGAAGTGTATCGGGAGCAGAGTACAAAATAAGACACGCACAACTTGCTTGCATGAACACTAGCAAAATATCCATATGCTATATCGTCGATTATCACTCTGGAATGTTATTCATTATCGACCAATATTAATTCAAAGAGCTCAATATAAGAACAAAAAACAAAGGCTGTTGAGGTACCATGAGATATAATTTCTTCAGGTCAGGCACTATTTCCCTTTTGAATTTTATGTAGGACATTTTTTAGTGTCATGAAGTAGCACACTATGATGATACTCTCAATTTACTTCAAAGCAAATTCATGTGACTTAAGTTTTCCTGCCACAAATGCCCCCCCCCCCCCCCCCAAGTAAAATGACTAATGGCAGCCTCCACTGTTTATATTTCGTAGTGAAAGCTAATTACCTACCTCCATAATATCCTCTAAATTCTCCTCTGCATCTGCTTTTTCGGTCATCAGTTTAGCAGCTTTGAAATAGGTCTTCATGAGAAGATAACCCCGTTTGGCCCCATTCCAGTGAGAGCGGGGAATTTCCACCAAACCATAACCCAAAAGCAACACGAGAAGAAAGAGACCCCAAGTGTTTGCGGCTGCTATCCCAATAGTCTGAAGTTGGTTCCTGCAAATACATAAATAAACAAACATCCCCCCTGACACACACACAGAAAGCAACCTTGAAATATCAGCACCCACAAGGTGTGCAAACGTACAGGAACAAGTTTAGTATCAACTGTAATTCTGCTTGTTCAGGAACAATCTACTACTTTGCCACATTTAAAGCTGCTACGATTTTTCCAGGTCTCCCATGCTTCTGAAAGAAGCTCTTTTGCCTAGAGCGCCCTCTCTGGAGGGAAACAAAAAAGCTTGTTTTCAAAGGAGTCTGTTGCTTTAGGAAACAACATGAACTTAGGATATAAACTGAGACAAAGCATCACTACAGGAAACAGCCTCTTTCAGAACCAGAGATTTGTGCTCAGCAGCAGAAGTTGAAAGTAACTAGGCAGTAAACAATAGTGTCTACTCCTGTATATAGCATGAAAGACTAATAGCAATGTTACAAACATCAATTACTTTGACTTACCTTAAGGCCTTTAAACAGAATCTTCAGTAGACATAAATGCTACACAGGAAGTACTGACACACTTTTTGAAAGGTGTTATTTTCAAAGCACTGAAAAAGTTTTGCGAATGCCTTTGTAGGGAGGAAGAAAAAAAAAACACCACTGCAAATATAAAGGGATCCCTCCACCCTACATATGAAAACCAGAAAACCCGAAGGAAAAAAAACAAATTTAAAAACAGTCAAAAAATCCCTGCCTAGAAAAAAAACACAAATTCTCAAAGTGTCTAGCAAAAAAAAGATGCATTTCATCTACAGAAGATATATCTGTGACAATACATTTTTTAAAGAATTTGTGTAAGCGTATACAGCATTGTTCTTACCATTGCAAATTGAAGTTGGGGTTTACAGCCACATATATTAAAAATGCTCCAAAAATCAGCAAGTAAGTGCCGTAATAGATTGCATTCTCAATCAACGCAGTTTTAATCTTCCCAGTAATGGAGAACCCTCCTGATCTAGCATACGATTGCATGAAGGGTAAAAGAATCCTAGGAAAAAAAGCGAGCAAAACCAACACAAATCAGCCAGACAAAAAGAAAAGTGCATCAGTGACAAGATACCAAGATAGGGCCTTTAACTTGAAAATTCCCAAGATTCTAGTAAAATGTGTTAGCTATCCTATATTTTTGTTCTAGATATACTGGTCTGATGGCAAGCCTTAAACAAATTGTAGATAAAAACAAGACAGTTAGCTTTACCATAGAAAACCTCTTCTAATGAAGAATTCACTACAAAAGCTGATCTTCCTGACTGAGCTACAAAGGTAATAATTCGATGATAGGCTGATTAGAAACGGTAAATCGATCTAAACCAAAGGCACAGACATTCTGTTGGCTGGAGAAAGGGGGTACTACCTTGCCTAACTCTTCAGATCCTCTAGACACATTTGAGATACTTCAGCAAAACAATGGTCATTCATAGAACTGCATTTTATGCACATACACATTAAGGAAAAATACACTCTGTAGATGAAAGTACTACTAAAGAGAGAGATTTTATAAATCTTAATCTGTAGCAATATAATTGTTATACCAATATGGTCAAGAGCAAAGCCAGAGATCAAGAACATGAAGTTGGGAATGGAAAAAACACGCTTCCGAACAGTGAGAAGTTTAAAGAACTTATCTTCTGCATGGAGGCCCCGGAGAAAAACGTTAATATGCTTTTTGCAAAGCTATCTGCAATAAAACCAAACAATTTACAGTGTAACCCAGAATTTGCCCAACTTATTCATATCATTATTTTGGTGTCCTGTTGCCTAAGAAAAAATAAAAAAATCTTTTCAGACTACCTCCCCATAAAAAAATTTTAAGCGCAAACTGGTCAGTTTCTACTACAAAAGTGAATCAGGGTAAATAGTTGTCACGTGAAGAGGTGCAGAAGTGGCGTATGCTCAATTTAATACACTAATATTTAGAAAACTTTCTTCACTAATGAACAACATACGTGATTAGATAGCTTTGTGAAACAGTGATATATAATCTTAAGGAGTACAGTAAGACTTAAGATGTTATAACTTTATCATGGTCTTTGTTACATTCCTTTGCCTTACTTACCATGTTAAAAACTGTGATGTCCAATATACAACACGCCAGAAAATTGGCATAATTCCATTAGGAATATAACTCCATGGTTTGAAACATTTTTGCTTGCTGTAGTAATGTAAGATAGCTTAATGTTAGTTGTCGGGTCAAGAGTATAGGACTTTTTTTTTCTATAAATTCCTCTATCTAGAAAAGGCTTTGCATACGGCTAGCATGTAATACACACTATCTTGAGTCAGCAGTCAGCCATAACAAATACACCTTAGAAGAGAATAAACAATCACCATTAAAAATATTTACCATTCTTCTTGAAAATTTAAAAACTTTTGTTTAAAAGTTTTAAGATCTGAGCTATAGCAACACAGCACCTACCCAATTATTACTAAAGTTGATCTTTCTATTTGGCATCCTCAAGCGATATACACTCACCAGCATCTTCCATAAGTATAGGTTAACTATAATTACAACACTATTAAATAGTTTTCAAATCGTGTATTTACCTAATTATGTTTAATTAACACACACAGAGCAGTCTTAAAGAAAGGCTAAATGTTAATTCAGTGAGTTTGGCCCTTCCCAGATTTTCCATGAATAAACAACATCTGGATATCCTCCACTTTGGGGTAACATAACTGGCAACACCTTCCGCACACGCTATCAACTGACATCTTAAATGCTCTAATCATCCTGCAGATACCTAACTACACTGCACCTAGCTACAAGATGCAGAAACGGTAAATGAAGGCTAAACAGTGAACAGCCACAGGAAGAGTCCCCTTTTGCCTACGTTCCCCTAAATTTGGGGATTATTTCCTTGCTGCCAGAAGACAATTAGCAGCTATTGTTACTTTTGCAGAATGTCATTCAGGTAACAGTAATTATTTTATAAGCAATAATATATGCTGCTTGCATTTAAGATAAGCCTACTCATCTCATTCATAAGGTATAAAATCAGATTTTCAGATCTAAGGCTAGGCTTTTAAGATCGTGGAGGAAAGATAAGCATTCAAAAGGCCTCTCCTCATGGATAACCAAGTTTGTTCAAAAAGCTTAGTTCTGTTGCTTTAACAAAAAAAAAGGAGAGAGGAAATTTAGTGAGAAATTAAAAAAAGTCAGAGCATTTAGAAAAAAATCAATTAAAACTAGCATTATTAAGCATAAATGCCTAGCAATAGACACGGATGCATTTTTCTTCACCTTCTCTTCTCTCAACCAGCCTTCAAATGTCACACCACGCAGTTAACACTTGTTTATTGATCTTAAAAACACAGTACCCTTCCATCATTTTTAAAAAGACCACCATAGAATACTTCTTTAAAAACAGTCTAATGAAGAAGACATACAGCTCGTACCTTGGAGCAAGCGTAACGTAAGAGCCATTACTTTCCGGAGGACTGGAGTTAACAGCAAGTTTGCAGCGATTATATATAGTCTATAAAACAAGTAATTTTACATCAATGACCACAACAAGGCACAATATTTATTTAAAAATAACAAGTTGCATTTTGGAAGACATGTCTTGCACTCCAGTTTTACACTTGAGAGCAATTAAACTAACAACAAGCAAACCCTCAAATAAACAGACAGCTTGCAGGGCCAGTAACAGGAAAACTGAAAGTCTTTTTATATTGTTTAAATTAAAAAATATATACTATAAACAAATAAACAATGAAAATTTTAAAACAAACTGAAGTTGACCTGTCTGATGAGAGCAACAACAAAAGTAAGAAAATCAGAGAAACTGTCAAGCTAAAAGCAATAACAGTATTTAGTTTATTTTAACATTATACATTTGAAAATTCTATTTTCATTTAAAATTTCTATTTTTAAGGTACTTTGTCTTCTGAAACTGTGAATTAAGAAATATCACATATATATTTTATTTAAGTAGTAAATCTTAGAAGTTTCTCACCGTGCTGACATCCAGAGGCAGTATAAACACAATAAGAAAGCAGAGATACCAGGCCAACAGCGTTGCTATGATCACCAGCCTATGTTGTTTCTTAAAGTCTCCATATCGATGAAGTAGGAATAAAGCCAGAAAAAAGACAAACACTATCTCAAGGCCCAAAGCTGCACCGCTCATTATTGAACGTTCACTCCAGCCACACAGCACAGCTCAGCTAAGAAAGCGGATCAGAACTGCAAGACAAGAAGACATTTCACTACATTAAAACCTCTGGAAGATACTCATGCAGAAAACAGAGCTGTGTACCAGACATTTACTGAAAACGCTAATAGCCTTTGCTGGTACACATGACAAGAACTCTGATCAGATGAAGCATGAGATTTTCAGCAAGGTGCCTCTGCAGAAATCACAGTATCATGTCACTTCAATTTTGTCATTTTAGCAACATACTATGAGAACTCCTCTCAGTCTTCTTGATATATAACAGATCCTGAAGTCAAGTCACCATCATTGAATAAGACTATAATAACTTTTAAGATTAGTGTAAATTGCAAAAGAAAGTCAACGCGGTTCCTTTTTTATTCTAGAAGAAATCCATTTATTTGGAAAAGGATAGACAGAAAGGTTTAAGATGAAACGTGTTTCTGGAAAGCTAAGAAAAAAATTTTTAAATGGACGGTTTCTCAACTATGCATTTAAATCCTCTACTCAGAGTTAACACAGCATAAAAATACAGTAAGTATATGTTAGTCTACTGGTGATGTACCTTTAAGATGTGAAAGTTCATGTAATAAAAGGCAATACGCTAGCTAGTTAATTCATCTTCCTGTGCCACTTCTGCTCTTCTTCAGAGAAACACAGGTCTCCATTCATTCATTTGTTATTAGTACTGTTGTGATATATTTTTGCTTTGCTCACCTTTTGGATTTATTTACTCTGTCTTACAGTCAGGGCTGTTTGGAATGCCTAGAACTTCGGACAGGCCTGCTATTATGCTAAGGGTCAGTTAGCTGCACAAAACCCAGTTTACACACAGAAACAGGCAGGACCACATTAGAGGCTAAATCCAATAGCCACAAAAGTCAAGGAGACTCGGTTCAGGGTTAACTGAATTAACCCTGAAAACACTGGCAGACAGCATAAAGAGTCATCCAGTTGTTAACTTCTTTGTTTCTGAAGCACACACAGATTGCCCAGCGTGCGCATGCGCACACACACGCGCACAGATTACCCAGCACACGCACGCACACACACACACACACACACACACACACACTCTTAGAACCATCTCTTTAATCTCTGCTGTACCTCTTGGCCTTTTGCAGGCATTTTCCTGCAAAAAATAAGCCAGTTGGGGCAGATCTCTACTGCTTTACACTAAAAAGGGAACAAAAAAAAAAATCAGAAACAGTATTTCATTATAACAAAAAATGCAAGTTCATGTGAATTATTATCTATAAAATATTTCTAGAAAATGAGCTGCTAAAAGCTTCTCGTTCCAGAGAATTTCCAAAAGGTCAAAGTCTATAAGCCTGGTAAGACAAATAAGCTCACAAAATTGGTCCATACTGCACTGTGAGGATCATTCCCTAAGATAAAATAGTTAACAGCTTGGTATCTAGATAAAAATACTAGGAGAGCTGAAGAATTATTACATTTTATTTCTAGGAAAAGTAACTGATGCCAATAAGTAAAAGTATCCAAAAAAGCATTCACAAACCTAGCATGACCCATTACAGAAAATTTCATCACCTTGCTATATGGCTAGTTATAATGTTTCTGACCTTTTTAAATATTCATCGTTTTAACCTACCACTTCATATATTTTCCCCACACAATTTGTTCATTTCTCTGCTCAGAGAGACTGGATTCTCCATTAAGGTTGCTGCTTCAGCTGGTTTCATGTAATCAAAATAGTTTTTGCTATGGCTTCCCCAGTTGTCTTTTCAATGCATTCACTTTTCACCAGAATTTCACCAGATTTTAAAGAAATGCTATTACTAGTTTCCCTCAATTTACTTTTAAATCTCTTCAAAATTTGTCAAAGTAAACCACTTCATTTATTAATCTCTCAGTACACTACCTAGCAGCCACGATATGTATGAGAGAACTAAGCAATGAAAAGTGTCTCATTTCCAGTAAAGAAGTCCACAGTTTGTGACACCAGTACTTCCTAAAGGATAGGCTGGACAATAATTCTGTGAGATCTCCATGAAGATTTCCCATTTTGCTGCTTTTACGCTTAATTCTCAAATAGTTAAAGCAGTTTGGCAACTCTATAATGGCTTTTACATAGCGTTTCATTTTCCCAAAAGTTGCTTGAACTACCTTCTTGTATCTTATCAAAGATACGTACATTTACGTTTTATCTTCTCGCTCTCACCTAACAGGTCACAGCAGCCCCTTACTGTCTGCCTGTACATTTTTGCTAGCTCATTTGTAAATCATGAATCCGGGTTACCTAACCTATTTCTCAATAACATATTCTAAACAAGTTCTTGCCTGTTCTATTGTACTATTCTTATTTCCTCAGCAAAGAGAATGCCTTTTTTATTTATAGTACAGCAGTAAATTCCACAAAAATATAGTATTTATTCTGCACTCATATTGACTTCACTAAGGCAGTGCTATCTGACCTATATAGGTGCCCATTGTAGGTGTACCTGATGCTGTGAAAATAAATTATACACCATACCCTCCATTAACCACACCTATACAATTTTATACTACAGTCACACCTGAAGAGCTGCAATTAGGGCAGAAGAGGAAAAATTATTGTGCAAGATGCTGCACTCAGCTACTGCCACAAAGGAACTTACAAAAAGATTGCAAGTCTTGTACTGAACGTGCTAAAATAGAGAGAGAATCGAGTCTTACCACAACTTCAATCTACTCTCAAAGACAAAAGCAACTCTGCAGTGTCAAAACAAACTACACATTTTTCTGCTCTTTACCTGGTTCCTGTTTTAACTTCAAAGTAAAAAATGAAAGGCAACATTTTTACCAATAATGGTAAATGGAGTTATTGTAAAACAATGCATACACTTCAAAATTGCAGCTCAAAACTTGCAGATAGAAACGAGCTAAAACTATTTCTGAGGACAGATAGCTTAAATGGGAAAAAAAAAATCAATAGGGTGAGTGAGAAGCACAGTGCTTGAAAGCAGCTTTTACCATGAACTAAATCCTGCTTAACAGGACAGCCTTAGTTGCCCCTGCTACTAGAATTGTGACACACTTGTATTGCACCTTAAAACACATTACTGCAGGTTATAAAGCCATGCTTTCTTGTGGCAAGAAACATTTGCCTCTAAACCTGGTTGCTAGCTCAACGCAGGGCAAGTTGCTTACTTGTAATTGTGCTTCTTCCTTTTATTTAGACAGGTTTCTCACTATTAGTTCGTAGCTCCCTAATATCAGCTGGCTGAAATTCCGAGACACCTTAAAGAATTTTCTGCTGCGAGCAGTGAACTACTTTACATGGGTTCTCTCCTACTGCCTTCTTAGTAGAACTTTCCATTGCATAGAAGATGCTTCTACTAAGCTCTACAAAGAGTAACAAAATTCCTAACAGTGGAAACAAAATAGAGAGCAAGAAAAACACTAATGAAAAATAATTCCTTACTTCTGAGAAGCCACCTCTGAACGATATAAATATGAAATGTTCACCTGTAAAGACAGCACGGTAAGTAAACAGCTCCTTGCTCTGAAGGGGAGAGTATCTATTGGGATACTTCTACTTCATTTCTGGAGAATAAGGCAACTATGGATTAAGATAAGTGAGTTAAGGTCAAAAACTGAAGTACTGGAACCAGAAGTGCAATTTAACCATTAAAAACCAAGGGTATGCATCAAGAAAGCTAAGGATTTTGTGTTTTTTTTTTTTTTATTCAAATAGATATAGGCAAAAATACTATGTTTTTATTTTATGAATGGAAGAGCTTGGTTACCCCTCTATAGGGGCAAACAACTTCCACAATTCCTGGAATCTGAGATGGGATCCTCTTCTGAATTCCAAATCCAGCTATGCACTCTTCAAGTGCCATACAGGGCCCAGTTCACACTTTAATAACTGTCGTGGAGACTCCCTACCATGAATCAACAGTCTCACGTTACTTTGCCAACCTCAGAATGAACCATGTTCATGTCATCTACATTACAAACAAACTATTCTGCTTGGTACAGAAACACTCAAGTTACTAAATGAAACAGCAGAGAATGAAGCACACAGTCTCTTTGAGCTTTTACACAGCACCAATCTAGTAACAAAGGCGTTCTGACATTACATTCTTAAAGAATATCTAGAAAGAATAAGGTATATCTGAAGAAAGGACCCTGGTCTCACTGAGGCGGACTCCAACACCACTTTAACCAGGAATCTCAGATTAAACTGTAGTGTAGCATGGTCTTATCCTTTTCAAACTGTGCATGAAATCAATTTATTAGTACACTGTTCATTTTGGAAACTAATGTAATTACTCCTTCAATCTTTCCCAATTGGTCTAAGATCTCATTTTCTACAGCTTTCTCACTGCTCTCCTCGACACTCTTCCCCAGCTTCTACAATTGGCTGTAAACCACACAATATTCCACCTAATGCCTGAGAAGGGCTGAACTAAGGGTAAAAATTGCTTCACATGTCTTACTGAAACGTATAAGTAGAAGCTTAACCTGCATGAGGTTCACTGCACATATTCAGTTCACTATACCCCCCAAATTCTTCACCCTTAAGAAAGACAACACTGTTTTCCACCCTGTATTGGGGTAGTTGATTACCCCTGCTTCAGAGCCTTGCATTACAGAACTCCACTGATCTCTATCTCTTCCTCTTTCATAGCCTTCATCCCTGAATCTTCAAGGCACTTTGATGTCCACTAACACACTCACAGGTGCCTGTAATCCCTCCTAGCTTTGTGCCCTCTTCAGTTTTAGTAATAGCATAACTTCATTATGGAAATTCTGTGAAAATACTGAAGAGTAGTCGACAAAGGAGTGCCTCCTTATTCAAGTAGCTTTGCCCCCCACGCAACAGTAGTTCCCAAACTGTGCTTTTCCCTAGTTTGGTTACAAAAACATCATGAGAAACAGAATCAAAAGTCCAAATATGGGACATCAACTGATTCTCTCATATATAATCCACCTGCTAGTCTATTAGGGAA